AATACCCGAGCAGTACACCTAGAAGTCGCCACTGATTGTTCAACGATGGAGTTCATGCAAGTGCTTAGACGTTTCTTCGCAATCAGAGGGAAGCCGAAGATGATACAAAGCGACAACGGTACACCTGTCTCTTATACACATCTAGATGTGTATAAGAGACAAATAAAGGAGTGGTAAAGAAATTGGAACGTGTGTTAGGTTGTCCACTGAGCAGAGGAGATGGTGCTGTAGATATGTTAATAGGCGTGGATTACCCGTTCATGCATATCGGTGAAACACAACAAGTAGATGGTTACCTATTAAGGAAGTCGCCCTTGGGATGGGTTGCGTTTGGATCTAACAGTCAAGAGAAACAACCAGGCCTGACAGTACTTCAGGTAAATGTCACACAGAAGACGGACCTCTCACAATTCTGGACCACAGAAGAAATGGGTGTCAAGATACCAAACTGTACTTGCACACCAAAAGATGATTTGAAGTTGATTCCTGCTGAACTAGTACAATTTGATGACATGTGGGAGTCGTGCGAAAAAATCAAAGACAAATGGCAGATACCGTATCCGTGGAGACGAAGCCCAATTGAGCTTATTGACAACAAAGCGCTTGATGAGAGAATGTTAGCCTCTACTGAGAAACAACTCATGAAGAATCCAGATCATGTGAAAGGATACCAACAACAGATGGAAGAAATGGAAAAACTCCAGAAAACTGACAGATGAAGAAATTGCCAAGTATAAGGGACCTGTATGCTATATAACCACACCACGCAGTTATCCGACCAGAGAAAAAATCAACACCGGTAAGGATTGTCTTTAATTCATCCGCTAAAGTCCATGGCCAGTCCCTTAATGAGTTTTGGGAGAAAGGACCTGACCTTCTGAACAGTCTATTTGGAATGTTACTGCGGTTTAGACAACAGAAGATTGCATTAGCAGCCGACATTTCCAAAATGTATCATCGTATAGCGATTCCTGAAACAGATCAGCATGTTCACAGATTCTTGTGGCGTGACTTTGACCAACGCAAGAAACCAGACATATATGTGAAAACCAATGTAACGTTCGGTGACAAGCCTGCCCCAGCGATGGCTCAAGTTGCATTACAAAAAACGGCCAAGGTGAATGAAGAAACCTACCCGGTAGCCGCTAAAATTATTGAAAACGACAGCTATATGGATGACATACTGACTTCTGTACCAGATGTGAACACAGCCGAGAATTTTACCAAAGAAATAGACACTGTTCTAGCAAGTGGAGGATTTAAGGTAAAAGAATGGGTATCGAATGGAAAACCTACCAATCCAGACATTAACCAGCAACCTGACAACAAACCTGTGACTGATTCATCTGAACAGAAAGTGTTAAGTGTAGTTTGGAATCCTAACAATGACCTAATATTGTATAAAGTCAAACCAGCCAAATTCCACGAGAAGTCATTAACTAAGAGAATGGTACTCAGTGAAATTGCCAAGGTCTTTGATCCGATTGGATTTGCAACTGCGTTTCTCATAAATGGAAAGATTATGATGCAAAAACTATGGCAACGAGGGTATGGTTGGGATGATGATTTAGCTGAAGTTGAGAAAGCTGAATGGAGAAAGTTTTTCAAAGAACTGCAAGAATTAGATTGTACTTTATTCCCGAGATGTTTATTACCAGTCCATTCAAGTAAAGCAGCTGAACTGATTATTTTCTGTGACGCCTCAGAAGATGCATTCGGCATAGTAGTATACACGAGATGGGAAGACTTTAATGGTGATGTTGGAGTAAGATTCATTTCAGCCAAGTCCCGAGTAGCTCCAGTAAAACACCTATCTATGCCTCGTTTAAAGTTACAAGCCGCTGTTATGGCATCGAGACTGTATGCTACGCTTAAGGAAGAGATGTCTCTGAAATTTGATAGAGTTATATTCTTTTCGGACAGTATCATCGCTTTGTCATGGATACGTGGTCAGTCTAGACTCTACAAGTTATTTGTTGCTAACAGAGTTGCTGAAATTCAGAACCAAACCGATCCGGCAGACTGGCGTCATATACCTGGAGAACATAACATTGCCGATCAAGTGTCCAGAGGGATTAAAGTCAAAGATTTGGAACATGACTGGAGGAATGGACCTGCTTTTCTGAAGCTTCCAGAAGAACAATGGCCGAAATCTATTCCGAAGACAGATGTCAAAGAACTTGACAAAGAAAAGAAGAAGGAGAAAACCATTTTGATAGTAAATGCAGAAGACAAGAAGGCTATCGACTGTAAGAAATATTCTAGTTGGAGAAAGCTGATACGAGTTACAGCGTACGTGTTTAGATTTATTTCTAATATGAAAGCTAAGTGCAGAGTAGAAGATGGATCACTGTCAACCAATGGGTTATCCATTGCTGGAGACTATTGGATCTTCGAAGCTCAAAAACATATCCATGGTAAAGTTCAAAGGGTTGAATTTAAATCATTAAGTCCCTTTGTGAAAGATAATCTGATACATGTGGGTGGAAGAGCTGATAATGGAACATTATCATATGAACAACGACATCCTGTTCTACTACCTAGAGATGACCACATCTCATACTTGATAACTAGAGATGTACATGAACGAGGACATTATGGAATTGCTGCAACTGCTGCAAAGGTTCGAAGCAAATATTGGATAGTAGGAGTTACCAGCCTTGCTAAGACAGTGAAATTCCGATGTGTGAAATGCAGAAAGTTTAATCACCGTGTTGAAACACAATTGATGGCGGAACTACCTGCAGAAAGGATGACTCCGTTTACACCACCGTTTTATTATACTGCATGTGACTACTTTGGCCCATATAATGTCAAAATAGGAAGACGTAAGACAGCAAAACATTACGGTGTTATATGTACATGCCTGAATACCCGAGCAGTACACCTAGAAGTCGCCACTGATTGTTCAACGATGGAGTTCATGCAAGTGCTTAGACGTTTCTTCGCAATCAGAGGGAAGCCGAAGATGATACAAAGCGACAACGGTACACAGTTTATTGTTGCTGAAAGGCAGCTGAGAGAAATGATTTGAGGTTGGACTAAGAGGGAACTAACAGAGTTTTGTGCCGAACAGGAAGTTACGTGGAAATTTATCACACCGCTTGCTCCTCATCAGAATGGATGTGCAGAAGCGTTCGTGAAAAGCTGTAAGTTAGCGCTGAAGAAAGCCGTAGCTGAGCAGAAATTAACACCATTTGAACTTCATACATGTTTCCAGGAGATAGCTAACCTTGTAAATGAACGACCGATTGGGCGTATACCCAATGATCCAGATGACGGTAAATACATCTGTCTCAATGACATTCTGTTAGGACGTGCATCCAGTAGAGTACCGCAAGGACCATTCCGTCCAAGCAAGAACCCAAGAGACCGACTTGAATTTGTACAGAAGATAGTTGACACGTTTTTGAATTTGTACAGCAGATAGTTGACACGTTTTGGAAGCGATGGTCGAGAGACGTCTTTCCATTGTTGGTGCCTCGACGTAAATGGAATGTAGACAAACGAAATACTAAAGTCGACGATGTTGTTATACTAGCTGATCCGAACGTGATCCGTGGAAAATGGAATATAGGACGCATATCTAAAGTGTATCCCGGACCTGATGGAAGAGTTCGAAATGTTAGAGTGAAGACTTCGAATGGACACTTTAGTAGACCAGTCAATAAGATTGTTGTAATTTACCCTGTAGAGGGCTATGAGTAATTTGACTGAATCTGTATGTTTATTGTTGTGATGCGAATATATATCGCATCGTGGGGGGAGGATGTTTCGAGCGAAACTAGATTTATTATGAGTATTATTAAGGGCGCACTTTTACAAGCGTCGTAGATCCACATGGCAAGAAACGAGCTTGCACTCTGATGTTTTTACTGACTGTTATTTCAGTAAAATACCTGTTTTTATATACTGTCAATATATGTGGTATATTGTGATGTTTAGGGTAACTGTTCAAGATTTTAATACTGTTATTAATTTCGATAATAGATGTATAATTTTAATGTAATTAATGATGATTTGTTGAACACATTATAGAGCTGAGAATATGTTATGTAACGGCCACAGAGGCTTTGTTTGAGCCTAGTTTGGTAGTATCAGTAGCTGATCTGCTTGTTACCAAGTTATTTCATTAGCCTATGATAATTGAGTATATTATGTTTATAAAATATTATGTTATGTATGTAGCTTCTATGAGTTAAGTAATACTGGGTTTTATTATGATAATACGTTGATTTACGTTGAGTATTTAACTTAGAATTTGCCAGTATAGACCATTTGCTAAAGCACCTTTCCTAGCCATTTTTCTCTGAATGCTATGAATATTCATGAATTATATTGTTACATGCAAGACTACCGGAAGTTGTCTGATATGATAAGAACTGTTTATGTGCGTTGCTTTTGTTTCTGTTAGACTATTAATCTGTTTTAGGAATGTATGCCTATGTCTATTAGGTATAATATGTACTAAGTTTATCATTGTACTGTACATGTATTTTAAACATAATTACTCATATTTTTAGGATTTACCATCCACTGCTTATGATGCTAACCAGAGACTTGTTTGTTAAATTTACACCCGGTCAAAGTAGTAAGTTTATGTACATGCCTTGATTGTTTTTTACTAAGTTTATGTAATGGGTTAAAGATGCATTATCATTGCTATATGCTTTATTATTTTATATTTTTTGTTTTCTATTTTTTTTTAACGAGAGTATACAGATTTGTTATATTTAATTATTTACAGTATTCACAATGCTGTTATTCATTCTTCACAGAATTGAATGGTGTTTATTAAAACTCTCATACATTAAGACCGGTTGTGATTGTATACTTTTATATACTTTTCTCTCCGTCTGCCTCGCCAACAGTGTTAGCCTGGGTTCCAGGCCCTAATTTTAGGTTACTCACTCTTTATTGCACTTAGTGCGCGCCATACCTAATTTAATTGGCGTCCCATACTCGATTTCTTATTTTTTTTTTCGAATTAGGGCCTGGGCAAACGATTCATGCGTGCAATTTCCCACATCAGATTTGATGTGGGATATCGTATGCATGACTGATTTTGTAAATCACGTGATTGGCTAACTTCATGCATATTAATCAATCTTGGTAAATTTTTGAAATTGAAGATGCGGATGTCTCGACTAGAACAAGCTAACCAGCTCCCTTTTGGCAACCTATACTTGAATAAAAACAGTTAGTATATAGTTCTGGCCTGCTGAGAACGACATGGACTGATAACCGTAGGCTATACTTAGGAAACTTGCTCACCGCTAGCTGCTACACAGATTTAGGCCTTTAGAGTAGAATATTGTTAAAAAAGGTAGGCCTCTGTAAGTTAGAACTTAAAAATACGCCAAGCCTCTACTAGAGTCTAGGCTAGGCCTACTACTCAGACGAGGCCTGAGCCATCCTCCTGTAAAGTTAAAGTTTTTTTGTATTTGTATGGTATGCCGTCTAGGCTTAATTGTTTTTGCCATTGCCAAAATTAGTCTTACTAGGGTTTATTCTAAATATTTTAGGCCCGTTTTATTAGGGAGGACTATTTAAATTTAGTCATGCCTAACTAGTCGACGCGAGCGGCGAGTGACCCAGTTTCGTGGCTCCAAAACTATGAACATTTGATTGGTTGAAATTGTTTATTTCGGTCCGCCCATTTATCCAAATACGGAATATAAGATTACGTCATTCTTTTGGCATCCTGGTGCCTGACTTCAGTTGCTTATTCTGTCTATCTCTAAATTAACTTTCTCGTTGGTGGCGCTGTCCAGAATGAGAAAAATAATAAAAAAATAAGAGACTTGTAACAAGTCTACAACAGTGTATGTGCAATGGTTTTAGGTAGACGGTATAATTTATACATGACGTGTCACCGTACAAGCCACGCCCCCTCGGCTGAACCCGTTGTTTTTAGCAACTACCTACTTTTTTATTGCGCGCAGGGTGTAGAGCTTTGTCATTTCGCTTGTAGAGAGCAATACTACTTTCCAAATCAGGCCTACAGTAAATCTTAATCGTAGGCCAAAGCTGAATAAATATGACACACGGTTTAATGGCTGCATTGATGAAGATGGAATGCTATCCGTATCTGATTTGCTTTGCTCTGTTTGCGTCATTTAATTGTACTTTGCAATTCACTTATAACTACGACCCATCGATATCCGGAACTTACCCGCCAAGAGATCTACGGTGCCCAAAGGAATGTAACTGCACGTATGTGGCAAAAGGAGGTTCAGAATATAGAAATGACGTATATTGTTCACATCTGTCTTTAAAAAATATTCCTTTAAAGAATACGGTACCAACTGATGTTGCTTTTTATTTCTTGAATGGCAATCAAATTCAATCACTGAAAAACAATTCCTTTAACATATTTTCTGTCCTAGATTTTCTGGAGCTTGGATATAACTACCTAAAGTATAAAGATGTTGAACATGATGCATTCCGTGGATTGACGAAACTGAAATATCTTTCGATTAGTAATAACGATCAACTCGCTAAACTTCGAGCAGCATGGTTCGTCGACCTAGTATCGCTAGAAGCTCTGCATCTAGAACAATGCGGAATTGACATATTAGAGAGTGATGTTTTTAAGCCTTGTAAACATTTGAAAAAAGTTATTCTTACTAAAAATGATATTGTGTCATTCCCAACAAGCGTTTTCCAAAACTTGTCTTCACTTATGTACCTATATATACGCAATAATAAAATAATTAAACTTCCATATCAAGCATTTGTCGGTTCCAACAGTATACAGGCAATCGATATCAGTAACAATTTTATCACTACCATTAACGAAAATGTTGGTTTTCAAAACCTGATCAAATTGCAGAGAATTGTTGTCTCATACAACAAATTCTCGTGTGATTGCAATTTAGTCTGGTTTAGAAATTGGATAAACAAAACGAACATCACAATTGAGGAACTTTTTCATACAGAATGTTTCCGTATACACGGACAAAGCGGGATGCACACCAAACTGCTGGATTTTGATCCTGATACATTACAGTGTAGCAAATTAATTAAGGTCTTAATGATCACCATTCCGTCTGTGTCAGCTGGGGTTTTCATTGTAATAATTGGATCTCTTCTGTACTACTACAGATATGATTTAAGGTAGGTTATTCGCCAACCAAAGAAATATGAAAAAAGTCAGGAACTTCGGAAATGGGAAAGTGGGTGGTGGGGAGACACATTATGAGGACTCAAAGTTTCAATCAATTTTATTGTTTTTAAGAATAGTAGGCATATATTTGTAAACGAAAAAATAGGTAAAAAAGTCAAAATGACACGGAGATCTTTTCTGATTTATTCGAAAATAATTATATTCCTTATTAGCGGATCGTCTATGTTAAGACATTTCTATAAATTATAGCAATATAAATATTATAATTTAACTGTTTTAAAAATATTAGTTTTGGCAAGACAACCGCATATATAATTTAACCAACTAATTAAACATCGCGATTAATTTGATAAAACAGAACAATTATTTATGACTACTAAAAGAAGATAGGCCTAATACACAAACATTCATACATAATACATAACACTGGGCCTAAACCCCAGCGGTCAGGGTACCATATTTTTCCTAGACAACTCATAGATAAATGTGGTGGTGAACGTTATGCATTTATTTGTGTTATTGGTAGGGTATATGTTTAGGTAGGATAAATGAAGTATTTTCTACCGCATGAAAAAAATTCTCCCGTAAATTTTTGAAAATTTGAGTAGGCTATTTAATTTTGAATATCAGCTTAGCCTAGGCCTAGATAAAACATAACTTGTTAAAAAACAATCGTAAACAATCACAAATAAGTTTATTCCACTCCCTACCATCACTGTTTATAATGCATTTGCAATTAATTACGGTACGGTAGCTGTTGAAAAGACGGAATCACAGGTCTAGAGGTCATAAGGTCTGCCCTGATTTCACGAAGTAATGAATTAGGAGGTCAACTAACCACATTGAAAAGTTCAAATTTGTTGAAACTGAGCCTATATAAAAAAAAATGTTGATCGGCCGATAGACAGGGAGGTTGTTTTTTGTTTTTGTTTTTTGTTTTTGTTTTTTGCTTTTTTAAATTCTGTAATAACACCACCCCCTTGATATATGCCAAGCAAATTCCCCATGGAAAGCAAGGCTTCATTTTAACTTCACGGATCTTCCAGTGTAGTGACTGATCAGGTGGATTGTATACATTCTAACACCAACTCCCTGACGAACAAACAAAATGACAAAATATGGACACAAAAAACATAGGCCTAGCCGAAGTTGAATTGTGGGCGGAGGAAGATATTTTCGTGATTTATTTTTATGTAGGGAAAAGGGACAATTAAGCTGAAATATGGAATTGTAGACTTCGAGAGATAAAGATTTTAATGATCTTTGTAAGATTCGAATCCTAGACGTTAGCTGACGTAATAAGTTATACACTGTAAATTTAGGCTTTAAAATAAGCATAATTATAATATACAGTAGATGCCACTTACAGTATGCGCTGTTCCCATCAATTGTTTATTCATATTGTTTAGTTGTTATGAAGAAATTCTAGCAGAACTAAACATGGTCTTTTTTGGGGTTCCGGTCACCAATTCCTTCGTGGGATTTTAGGTGTGCATTGTTATCCTAAATTTTTTTAACGACGAATAAATTATATTTATGCATCCAGAAAATTGAGGCCAGGGAGGGACTTTCACAGTGGGAGAGTCTATAGCACCTCAGACCCACCATGGTTGGGGCTGAGGTAAGAACATTTATGAATATGGTACCTTTAGATGGCCGGAAATGGCACTTCACAGACAAAATTATGAATTTTCTTAAGTTTTGTCTCCAGTTAAAAAATATTTTGACAAATTTAGTGGGGCCCAGGCCGGCAGCTCCCCCTCCCCCACACTCTTTATTCCGCCACTGGATATAATATGATATGTCCTACAGTCGATTTCAGACACACATTATGTCGTTGCTCTTGTGGGGCTGAGATAAGAAAATGTATTACTATAGCACGTCTAGATGGCCGGAAATGGCACTCACAGACTTCAAATTGTGAATATAATTTTCTTTTTATCTCCATTTTAAATTTTTTTTGACAAATTTGGTGGGGTCCCGGGTCGAGAGGCCCCGTCTGGTCTCCTTCTCTTTAATTATTATAATATAATATATACCCTACAATCGATTTCAGAGACATATTATGGGTTTTTTTTTTCAACAAAGTCTTTTTGGTCTGGGTGCTAGATCGAGAAACCTATGTGTAGGGCCCCTTCGGGGCCCCTAGAATTATGTGGCCCTGCGGACCGCCGCATGAGAGCGCATAGGCGTTACGCCACTCCCGCCACATTCAGTCATAATATCGGCGCTGTTTCGAACGGCACGCTCGACTATCTTGGATGTGAATAAAGTCTTCTCGGATAATGACTATGCCTACTGTAGGCCCAGTGTACATAATTGGGTCATATGCAGTATCAGGCCCGTACAAAGTACAAGGGGGGGGGGGGGGGCGCTAAAAACAAACCGCCACTGGTTTTGAGAGCAAACACTATTCAGTGTTTTTATTTTCAAATGTTCTGTTGTCTATCAAAAAATGTTGACGGCCTAACGATAAATATCAACTTTGATATGTTAAGGAAACTGATCTATACAAAATTAAAACACCGTGGAAATGTCATTAATTATACTACTACAGGTTTACGTTCATTAATATCATTACAATTTTATGAATCGTAAATAAATCGAGGTCGGAGTAAAATAAATCTCTACAAATTGGACATACACTTAGCCTATAACGTGCCGCTTTCAACCACGTGGTGTTTCAGATTTTCACTGCATATATGTCAATAGTGAAAAATTAGAGAACAAGGTAAATAAAACCGAAAGATCCACTTATAAGAGACAGGTATAATACATACTCCAAGTATCGAAATACACGCCATCGTGTCGGGATTCAATATTTCGACATTAATTATGTCATCATCAGGAATGATAAAATTAAATAAAACATTAATAAATTTAAACATAAAAGAAAAAAATGTAGGTCTATCGCACAATAAAAAAAACCTATAATATTATTAGGTATTGAAAATACATGTAAATGTTATATTATAAATAAATGAAATTAATGGAAATTTAAGCGCTTACGTCGTGGATGAGATGGGTAGACGTCAAAAATATAAAAAAAATCGAGAAATCATAAAATTAGCCTATACTGATCCAATTGGGAACAGGGTAGGGAAAGCAATAAATCACTTTGTTGTTGTTTTTATAAGCGAATACGTCCACACTCTCCCGGGCCAGATAAGGGCTTTAACATACTGTATGGGGGCCGTGGTGGATTCAGGAATTCGAAATAGTGGGGGGGGGGGGAAAATTTCTAACCTCAGCCCCAACCATGGTCAGAGAGAGAAGATACAAAAATCCCATCCTTAGGCCAAGATGCCATCTATGAGCGTCTAGTTTTAAAAATGTTCTCATCGAGGAGGGAATATTCAATGTAGACATTTTAGGCCCACGTCTTTGTCCCAAAAAGTCAGGTCACGAATACATTTTTTCCCAAATTTCAGTCTAGTCTTAAATAATAATATTGAGGATGATGGTAATAAACATGATAATGATGATTCAATTCAACAATAACGGTAACAACAACGCAATAACCAACTCGACATTGATGTCGACGTCGCATTTGGCCGTTTCGTAAGCCCACCGCGCTAACTCAGCCGCTGTGCCCGATTATGTACTTTTTACGCATGCGCTTGAATTGTGCGTCGTAAACAGGAAAGTGTACTGAAAACACAAAAAAACTAGATTTCGAGTCTCAATAAGTGTAGCCTATTATTATGTTTTAATTGCTATAACAAGGTAGGCCTATATCCCAAATAATAAATTTTAAGATAGGCCTATTTTAATAAAGCCACAATTTACAAAATATTTAAATTAAATAAAAAATACTAAAACTTTGCACTGGTTTCATTAAAAGTATTGGAAAATGGCAGTGCTGTTCAACATTTCACTATTTAGTATGGTTTAAGCAATAATAACGTTGCATAGGGTCTAGCCTTGGATCTAGGCATCATGATTTAATTGTAACTGCGCATACCCACAACTGGTGCTATGCAAGCCTAGGCCTTTTTTCATTTCAATAATTAAGTTTAAATACCAACCTAAAAGATCGGATACCGTTTTATAAGGCCTAACCAGGCCTAGCCAATTACTAGTCTATGTCTCTATACTGTACTAAAGGCATAGGCAGGCCCTAGCAAGAGGTCTCGGTACAGCGACAGTATATTGCTAGTATATTAGAATTAGTGAGCCTGGTGTCGTATTCTTCTGGAAGATTTTTTTTTATATATTTCTTCTCATTTTTCATTTTACTTTTTTTTTATTTTGGAAATCGAAAACCTTTGAGGTGATAACGGGTTTTTTTTCACAGACTCGATCGCCTTGACGTACAGAGTGACCAGGGCCAAAAATGACATTCTAGCAAAACAATTCTGCTAAATTATGCTAAATCATCCCACACGGTCTATTACACTACTGTATATTACACTCCAAAATGCTGATGAGCGGGAAGGGGTGGGTATGTAACAATTGACGACCGTAAAAGCA